GGTGGTAGTGGTGCCGGTGGTGGGGGTGCTGTGGTGGGGGTGCTGTGGTGGGGGTGCTGTGGTGGGGGTGCTGGTGGTGGGGGTGGTGGTGGCGGCGTGGAGGATTGTCTTCTGGTAGTCATATCTGCAGTCGTAAGCAGCATCGGGTTTTGCAGATTCACGCTCCCAGGAGCGTGCTAGACCGGAAGATTGCGTCGTGGAGCCTTTTCCCCAGACTTGGCCACTTCCTGCACTAGATTCTAGATGCCCTGAGGCTTGGACTCTCAAGCCGTACAGCCTAGCCCCACGGACTCCCTCAGTTCTTGGCGTTGAGTACTCCAACCCTCTAGGCCTCAGTCAAGGCATAGCATTTGGCTGAGTTCATTGTCCAGAATGGACAGAGGAATGGACTGCTTTAGCACTGCAAGACTCAAGGTGCTTCATCCGAATCCGTCATACCTCCGTATATACTCCCTTCGGTTTCCAAACCAAATCCATTTATCCCGAATCAAAATCACATGCTATGACTCTACTCTACCAGACAGTGGAAACCCTCTTCTTTCAACGCTTTTGACTGCTGGAGGCAGCAATAGACTCCAAGTGCATGTTCCAGTTGTCAGCTCACTCGGTTACTGACAAAAGACGCTGCATAACCATCAGGGTTCTGCCCTGTGCCCAGGCAGACAGCAAACCAGACGCAAGGCCATAAACCTACGCATTAGACTCCTCCGATTCCCAGTAGATCGCATACTTAACAGCTATACAGAAATCCTCCCAAAATCCCAGCTGGACCCCAACTTCAGCTTAGTCCCAGGAGTGGTGGAAGAAGTCCGATCTGCTAACCTCGGCTCACAGGCAGCGTATGCAGGGTTTGGGGTTCACCGCTCTTGTTGTAAGGTTTAAGGTGTTTCAAGTTTACGGCTGATAGGTTTTCGGGCTCCAAGGTCACGTCTTGAGGTTCAGGGAGTTCAGGGTTTAAGTAGAGCTTCGGGTGTAGGATTCGTCCAAGGATTTCGCTCAGGTGGAGGAGTTGCAGGTCTCGGGTTTGCGGTGTAGGCACGTGCCGTTCAGGGTCAGATTTGCGGGGTCTTTGCGCGTAAGGAGCGGGATCAGGGGAACCGTCGAGAAGCCAGCTTAGAGCCTGACACGCGCACTGGGGAGTTCTTAAAACTACGGGCCCTTTTTGGTGGTTTATGGGTGCATACAAGGGTAGTATTGGTCCAAGCGTTCTTGTTCAGTTTGTCTGAAATGATTTTAATTCCGTTGTCCCTGCAAGAATAATTGCACGAGGATCCTACTGTGGGTTTCTTTGCAGTGTTTGCGTTCAGTATCAGCATTGAATTGCCCGGAAACCTAAGATCGCATTCCAACCTTCTCCATGTTGTATCTACCCAACAAGAACAGCAGAGACAAAAGTCTAAACCACAAGCCTTAAACTGAACCTACCCCGCCTTGCGGAGGCAGTGGCTGCGCGAGGACGTGAGTGGCAAGACGTTGCGAGATGCTTTCCACGCTACCCACCCGAATGGTAATCATTTGGTGAGGAGTCAGGGCTTTACAGGGACTATCTAGGCATCGTTCTGTAAGAGCATTATGGGATCATGGTGGGGTGTGCACATCACCGCATTGCATGCTGAAAGCGGAATGATCCCTAACATTCAAGGGCACTCTTTTGGAGCGCCGCCACTGTTTTTCAGTTGCTGGGTAATAAATTTGAGCAACGTGTCGCCGTTGTGTCAACTTGGACGGCTGTTGGAAGTTTTTGTAGGCCGCGCCGATTGTTGTTCAGGGTCATGCTTTCAAGGTCTGAGAATTCGAGCTGGGCTCCTGGCGCCTGCTTTTGCTGCCATGATACCATCCATTTCTTGTACTTTGGTCGTTCGCGTTGTCTCTTGGAGTGGTTGCAGTTTGCATGTCCACGGCTTTCCTAGGCTCAACTACCGGACTCCCTGCTTTCTTTATCTGAAACATGGTAATTTTGTATGGCAAGCTGGCTTTGGTCCCTGTGACGAGTCCAATGCATGTAGCACGCCTTACAAATAGACAGGAAACCCCAAAATGGCCCCACCAAAGGTCTCCGCTCTCTTCAGCAGCAGTGGAACCAACATCAGTTGAGTTTCTACTAAGTTGCCGTGTAGACTCTGCAGTCAGATTCCTTTCTGTCAAGAGAAGGTGAAAGCAATACGGGCAGAAAACGTTTTACAGGCTCAGGATTCCATACAAATTTACAGCTTCTGCCATCCGCAATGCGGCGCCCAAGGATTCAGGCGTTTAGGGACACCCAAGCCGCAGATCCTGAAGAAGCCCAGTTGTTGACAAAAGGACAGGTTCGAGACCTCAAAGCTCTGAAATCCCTTACATATACCTTCGCTGCACATATATTGTAGTCAGGAATCGCGGAGTTCCCGACCAAGTTTATGCAAGTTGAAGGACTGCTGTACATAGAGTCATCCCGAATCATCCTGCTTCTATCCCGGTGCCCAACCCTCCCACATTTCAATAGCCCTTCGACAACTTGCTTCAAGGCCTTCAAATCCGCTTGGGATGCCTTCTCCCCGAATGCTGCCACCACCCGCTCCGCGTCTAAAAGTCTAGCAGAGTAGTACAGACTCTAGCAAGGTGCAGGGTTCTCCGAAACCTCGCTGGGTAGGGATGATGTGGTCTTACAGATGATGATCGGGCTGATTTGGGATAGTTCGTTGGATAACCCATTAATGTCATTACTGGCGTCTGAAAGTTAGCTTTTGAACAAATAAAGGCCATGTTGTGCTAACACTACTTCTCCCTTGCTATGATTCCAGAAAATACTGCAGAGTAGACCAACGCCCTGTCAGAAACAGTTCCTATGATATTCGGGGAATTGGAAGTTCACAAGGCCTCCGTTCAAAGCAGGGACCGCCGGGAATGAGGGGGGATAAATGTAGATTCTTGTCACCAGCTGTCCTTGTTTCTTTCTGCCATGTCAATCCGTCAGAGCACAGAAGGTAAGGCTAATGTCCCTGAAAGGATTCTGGTTCTCGTACGGACACAGCACTGTATCCAAAGATTTCTCACAGAGGAATATCCACACCTTTTGGGCTTCTTCTCATCCCCATAGTCATGGTTCCTGAGCATCTGAAGGTCTAGGGGCTCCAAAGGTGGAAGCATCTTTCGAGTTTCGAGCCCTTCACAGTGGACCCTGCACCAAGCACAAACACGCCGAGTAGCTAGCTTCTAATGGAGGCAGCGGGCTCTTCAAGCTTTATGTCACGGATTTGAAGGCACGTAGGGCTGGTGGGCGCCATGGGCCAGGTTTCGGAGGAACATGATAGCATCATTGCATGCGAGTTGCAACGAAGACGTTAAAGGGATAGCATTTTTCTGCCTTAGCATTTTCTGTCTTGGATTATAACGAATTGAAAAAGCTGTGGACCGTGGTGTCTATCCCAAGTCAAGTAGTGGGTTCCCCGAGTCAGTGGAAAGAGGTCGGGGCATGTCAAGGTTTTTGGGGAAAAGTTAGGTTGAGAGTTTGGCTTGTGCGCCAATCTAGCTCTGACTGCCCAGGATAGAAGGCACAAAGCGCGCGACTTCGCCACGCATCTTCAAGTGACCCTTTGACTTTCCTGTAACCCTGGTAGCCCTGGTAGAGATTTCTGCACTTACGGCCAAAAAGCTCCCTAAAGATCTTCTGTACAACCTGTGATGCCACACTATGTGCCCGCGCTCCACCCAAGCTGCTGGCAGGACAACCTCAACCGTGCAGATGGTCCAGCCAGACCCGCGTCTGAAACAAGTACTCGTCAAACCTGAATAAAGATCATCGATATTCCCTGCCTGTACGGACAGCACGTAAGCCCTCCGAAAGATGAATTCGACAGCTCAGGGGATATTCTTAGATGTTGTGAACAAAGTTTCTGGGGGTGTGATTCATCCAGGGATCTGGACCTTGAGCTTGGAGTATGTAGTAGGAGTAGCAGTACTCGCCTGGCAAGTTTGCAGTGACAAAAGGCTCGACATAGCAAGCAAGGCTTCTAAAGAACTTGGTTTCTGCGCCCCCTGGAATGTCATAGTTTCAAGTCGTCCAGTCGCTCTGGGTACAGCGAAACCAAAAGATTTCAGCGAAATGCTCCTGGTAACTAAGCAGAAAGTCCTGCAAATCCGGGCTTCTGGGCCCAGCGGAACGTATCAGGGCAAATTATCACGACCTCGCCCCAAATCTGGCTCTTATAGAAACTGGGGTGGTTCGGACATCAGCATGAAATGGCCAGTCATGCGCAAGTAGGGGTGATACGCAGGTACCGAAATGATGACCTCGCTTCCAAAAATTTGCTGATGCCAACATGTTCTACTACTATTCTTGTGCAACATAGAGAACAGTTGATGCTTGGGGCTCCCTGCGTTTTAGACAAGGGGGCAGGGTAAACATTGGCGGGAGCAGCCATTCGGTACTGCACTGAACTTCTTGCGTGTTGTTCCCCGTACGAGGTAGACAAGCTGCAAGCAAGAACATCTTTTTTGCCCTGGGCCATTGACAGGGTCAGTAACAGAGGTACCGTGGGTTGTATGATAATATCTTTTGCTAGCATTGTGCAAGCCAGGTGTGTATAGGTTTATTTGTATGATTGCAAGACAAGGGCAACATTGATATGTGCGGTAGTTGTTGTCATCTTCGGTGCAGAAATCAAGAGGCTGCAGGCTCTGAATCCTAGCCCTCGCAGAAGGCAGGGCATGTCAGGTTTGGAGAAGCAGGGCTCGGTCTCCACCAGCTTGAGGGACTAAAGATCCGATAAGTGATGAGCTATTTTGGTCAGTTAGCGTACAATCCCCCGGTGTTACGCACGTATTCTGCATTGAAAGACGTGCTACACGTTGGCCTTGATGAGACATGACTCCTCAGTCGAGATCGCTCTGCGAGCAATGCAAGATATTACTGACGCTATCATCAGGTCAACGCCCATAGTCCAAGGTAGGTAGCATTGTTAAGAAGGTTGGCACTATGCAAACTGACTACGCAGTTTGTAAGTGCTCGCCTCGTGACTCAGGATACCATGCCATCCACGAGGCGCTGCAGGGTCTAGGTATTCATGGTGGGGCGCTCTTGGTGTTAAGTTAAGGGCTTACTGGTACGGGAATCTGATGGACTCTACTTGGAGATCTGGTTGTGATTTTCAGCACATTGTTCTGCCTGACCGATTAGAGACCTGCTAGGGTGGAAAAGCTATTGCCAGTGGTAGCTTTGGAAGCGGGCTTTGCAGTTCAGGTCAGAGTTCTTGCTGTGGAGCACAAACCTTCTGCTTGACATTCCGTAGTTCACATGCCCTGCTCCCTCTTGAAATACAGTGTCTGAGAACGTATTTCTCAAGTATTTCAGTCCGCTAGAATTGACAATCTTAGGCGGTACATACGCAGCTTTTACGAAGATAGCACAACAAGGGTTCAAGGTAGAAAGCACTCCAGGATGTATGGCTTGAATCTTGATGCGTTCAGCGTGTAGCCTTGCAGATAATGGCTGTCATGGAACCCTACAGGCCTACGGGGAGTGGCCCTGGAAGCCATCAAGTTTTGGTATATCTAGATCACAGTGCCCAGGAAGAAAGCAATTTACGCATCCCACACAAATTGTCAGGTTTGAATCCCATGTCTCGAATCCAAAGCTAGGACCTTACATAAATGCACGCTCGGAGATACAAGAACCCTTATACCTCAAACCCCACTGTACGCCATGAAGACGTAACCCTACAGTCACCACAGCCGGCAGGAGTGGCATTCGACCTACCGCGACAAGCTCTACAGTCGAGGCACTTTGCCTACTTGAATTGGTGGTTTCTCAAAATTTGGGTGCCCGAGTATTTTGCAATACCACAGGGGTATGGAAAGTGTAATACATAGTTTTTTGAAGTATTCGAGTATCAGGGTAGAAATTAAGCCCCTACCATCTCATTTTGGATGATGTTAAGTTGTAGACCTAGAATCAGCTAGTTCCAAAGTTTCCAAGATCTGAGATTATAGGATCCTTGTTTCACTTGGTTGCGTTCCCCTCTTCTTTTATTCAATCGCTTCGCTGATTTACATGAACGATACAAACCAAATCGTGAACGCGAGGAAACAAAAAGAAGGGCGTGGGAATGAACATCAAGGAAATGAATGGAGCAACACACACGAGAAGACTGTCAAATCCAGGCTCATCTCCTAAGGTCGGACCATTCCGTTCCTCATTTTACTGTGTGGTTACGCTCATTTGGTTTCTTTCATATCTCTTTGTAATAATCCACACGGCGGCTGTAACGTTAGGAAAGGTCCTAAGGTAACACGATTCTTTGACGGTTCACTCCCTTCACTGAATGAAAGAAAGCAGTCAGTTAGTGAGCATAACGAGTTTACTGGCCCAGATTTTTAGACGATTCAACTCTAAGCCACTATCAAGCTTCTGCCAGGAATTATAGATTATGACAATATTTCAGGATATTTCAGGAATACTCAACATAATCCTGTAGCAACCTTCCTATAGGATGGCGATAGTCTTAGCCGCTAGAAATGGTATACCTGTCCCCAGAGTTCGATGCTGGATCTGTGCTTCTGGGATGTCAACCCTGAGGGAAAGAAAACACGTATGATGACTCGCTTCCCCCAAAACAACAAGGTGCCCCACCATGATGAACATTCCGGGGCGTGGAAAACTGTTTGTCATTATGGGTGAATATTTGCCTTCCGCGGCCCCGCTGTGAAGCTTCAGAAACACTCCCAAATTGAACTTATTCAAACCTATAACACCCGAGTTTAAAGTTCCTGGATCTCAACCGCTACATATAAGGATTAAACCATCATCTGCTTCCCACGACGGAAAACTGCTTTTGCACAATTTCTGTTGGCGGCAGCTCCTGAAAACTAGGTCCCTAAAAAACGTAGATCCTCGTCAAATTCTTGGTGATAAACACACCTCAAGCCTTACCAAGGCCTTGCTAATGCCTCGGAATACCCCTCTGTTGAATCCCACTCCTTCAACGCAATTTGTCTATCAGATGGATTTTTCCTATCCTCTGCAGTTCTTCAGAGACGGAGCGCGGACAGAACTAGTTTTGCCGTCTGGCAAGAACAGCAAATCCCCGATGATTTGTCATCATTATCCCAGGGGCCGGCAACCTTGCGGCAAGGAGTGTCTTAATTCTTGCATCCATCTGCAGTTGAACACCCGCAGGTTGCTTTGGATGCCTACCCCATGGTCCATGTACCTTCTAGTACATACTTGGATCCCAAGGAGTTTCTCGTACCGTTACTTGTGGGTCCAAGTATATACCGTGGAGGCATAGAGGCATTGGACCCTCGGAGTGGCACTTTTAGTGAAAGCCTTTTCAGTGTATGGGTAACAGCAACTTTGATCTCATGTGTAGGCTTCGTGCAGGAGTAGATCCACGACCCGAAGCCCCAAACTGTAAAGCGTGACAAAGCGTCCCGTACATGCAAGGCACTCCATGAAGATCTGCTCAACTGCCAGCATTTCTAAACCTCGCAATCTCCACATACCAGAGCCCGACCATGAACTCAGGCTTAGACAATTCCATAATGCTGAGTAGGAACATACCCAAGGTAGAACCTCGAATTGATGACCCCCACAAGCCCTACAACGGATTAAAGAGAAGCGACATGTTTTGTATACACACCTTCTCAGCGGTTGCCCTGTAAGAGTCATGGCATCCCAGCCATGCCCAAACCCTTGAGAACACCGGACTTTTTGAAGCTGCATGTTTGCGAATTATGCTTTCAGGCGTTGTGTGGGAGTATGCAGGTGTATACAGGTCATATACACAAAATCACTGATTTCGCAGCTTAACCTGGAGAGTCTTGCCCATATGACCAACCGGTACCTGGAGGTTCATCGGCACTAATCAGGCAATCGCTTACGTAGTGCTGGACATCGATTGCCATGAACTTTCAAGTAGATCTCCGCATGCCGACGGCCCCGCCGAGTGTGCAGGCTATTATGACATCTTCATGTTCGATCTGAATGGTGCCCTCCTCAGCGTGATGGAATCCAGCGGGGCCCGCGGAATCATGCTGAGCAGGAGTTTGTGCCAGCATGCGGGTCTCTACATATAGCTTCGCATCAAAGGACTCTGAATATGGGGGTCCCCGCAGTGGCATGCTAGGTCGTGGGACATGCATTCTGAGATTCAAAAAGGCCCCAATGCTGCAGGCCCAGGAGGGTTTGCTTCTGTTCTCGAGAGCTGACAGTTGACCAACATTTTTTGGAGCCATCCTTCTTATTCCGAAGCCCCGAGCTTGAACCCTTCTTTTTTTGGTGAGCAGCGCTAAACCTAAGCCCCAAAACCCAAACTCTCGACCATCAGGTGATCTCATCTATTCGGTCTTTAAGGAGACAGACTACGCCACAAACTTTTTGCTCGAGGGTGATGGACCTTGGAAAGATTCCGGTCTGGGTGAGGCCCATAGCAGGGCGATGGCATGGGAGTGTCTCAAGCAAGGGGGTCCTTGGGAACCCTAGGGGTGTAGAGCGGTTATAAGCAGATTATTGGGGTCACATGTTTTTGTAGCTCCCATATTCTTTCGGTTTGGGCTTTCAGGCGTTGAGGGTATCCGATTTTGAATTTTCTAATTTCGGTTGCTTGGGGGTCATAAGGCAGGGTTGGGAGTTTTGGCGGCGGGATTCTTCGTCGGTTGAGGGCCTCGGAATGCATGTGGCTGCGGCAGGTTTGGCTGCTAGTCCTAAGCTTCTTGGCCCCTTCTCATTCGTTACCTGGTTTAGGGTAGACCGTAGACCTTCCACCCAGTTCTTTTCCATGACTCCCTGCCCAGCGCCAGGTCCATTTGGATGGAGGGCTTAGGATGAGGGTATCGCGTCTTCTCCCTTCCTTAAGAGCTGCTTTGAAGGTTGAATGGGTGGTGAGATCTAGCAAGGTTCGACAGGTTGGAGTGGAATCTGCAGGACCAGCATTGAATCGTAGGCTAGGAGAAGTAACCCGTGGAATTGGTGCATGTCGAAGTTGCAGGCAACACCTGTCATTTGCTCATTCATATCAAAGTCCGTGGTGATGTGAAACCTCTTGGCCGCTCTCTTAGGTGTTGACAGCTCAGCTTCTAGAAGCAGTGAAGAGGGTTCACTTTTTGATTCAAGAGCGTTAAGCGCACGGCCAGAGATCCTCCTTCACGCTGAAACTGTTGCCAGCATGACTTAGCAGTGTAAGTCGGCTGCACATGCTTTGACTACCTGCCAGTGGTACTCAGAACCCTACTGTCGAAGGAACTATCAATCTAGCCTTCTACCGGACAAGACATCCCCCAAATGAACCACGCTTCGAAAGTCAACGGGTCCACACCTTAATCCTCAACACTGCTGCAAGCATCTTCCTCAACCTAGTTTCAGGCACTAGCTGAAAGCCCTGTGGGGGTATGTGGAAGTGAGCAAGGAGATTGCAGGAGTACTTTCTTAATGAAGAGTCTTGCGGGGATTCCACAAACTTCCCTACACCCTTGCCTGACCCCAAGGCTTGGGCGTCCGCTTGGGCTCATGATATCTAGCTTGAGGGTCCAAGCAGCCATTATTGAAGCCCAAGCTGCAAGCTCCATGATCTGCGAAATATTAATACCACAGACGCGATTTGTAAGCTTTGAACACGAGTCTGCAAGCCGTTAACTTTGCGGAGCCTTAGTCTTGTACACTCCAAGCCGAATCTAGTTCTTGCCAGGTGAAGCTGGGCCCACGAAAACTTTGTCAATGCAAGGCGTTATCCTAGGTTAATGCAGCTGTATCAGAACAAGGGTTCACGGCTTTGAGAGGCTTATCGGTATACGTTTGCTAAAGTATGCCCACGTCGCCCCTATATATGCCCCTTGGTCTTTCAACAGTGATCCCATGTTCCAACTAAGAGGCTTTCAGGGCAGCTTTAGCTGCTCCAGCCACTGGGCTTGCACAGACCCAACCTTTTCATGGTTATGATAGAATCCTTGCATAACCTCCATAATAGCACCCCTTTTCACTTCCCACTATCACCCGAGAGTAACAGACCCCTACTTGTAAGACCCTTCTCGAAAGAGAACGCGGCCACTTGCATTCTTGTCATGATCCATTTACAGGGCACTCTGTTCAGGTTCCGCATTTAAAGGCTGTAATCCTGCGCGAGTTGATGGGGGGATCATCGTCTTGTTGACAGGATTTCAAGCTTTTGAGTTGCCATTGCCGCCGCTGCCTTATTAACCTTATCCCCGCTGAAGTGGATCACAGGAACCTGTGTTTCAGCAGGGCGTGTAGCTGCAGATGACATGCAAGGGTAGTGTGCCTGCATGGACGTTCACAAGTGGCTCTAGGTCCAGGTCGGAGTCCAGTCAGGGTTAGTCTTATGAACTCCCCCACAAAAAACCGGTGCCCTCCTTCCGAGTCGCAAGTGACACTAACTTCTCAGTCCAAGACTCAACACCCCTGGACATCACCAAAGCCCTCAAATTCTCAACCCCCCTGGCCCCGCAAACCTCTGCACCCCTGGACCTCTTCCACCTCCAGGCCCGCTTTAGACAGCATAAATCAAAAGCCTAGATACCCACACCCGAGCCATATCAACCCTAAACCCTATCAACCCTAAGCATGCATCCCAGACTGCCTAGACTCTCAGCTCTGTCAGTCCTAAACCCCGAACCCCTAATCAAACCTTACAAGCCTTAAGCCTTGAAACCACTATACGTCCAAACCCGTCTACATGCACCCAAGCCCACTACACGTAAGGACAACATCACCTACATCGACTGGAAGCCGTATGGGCCGAGTGCGAACGCCCCCGCGGCCTTCTTTGCCACGGGGCTCAGGGATGAGGCCAGAGGCTTTCCTAGCGGGGTCACGGAGAGTTGGAGTGCTTTAGAGGCATTAAGGTTTGGGTGTTAGGCCGTAGGCATTCTTTTTTCAGGGCTGCTTTCCAGGCCGAACTATATTTTCGGGTAGAAGAACAAGTAGGATAGTCCTGGGATGTACAGACTTACGAGGGCGTCTGGTGATGTGGAAAATCTAGGCCCCGCGTTCAAGGGTGTTGAACGTGTTGAAACTGAAGTTTTTTTGTGGGCTAGCCGGCTAGCAAGCATTCCTCCAGATGTTGGGTGTCTTTCCGATCTTTTGAGCTTTTCCAATGTTTTTTGTCACTTGAACAGACCCTGTAGGGCCTTGTAAATTATTTGGGCGTGAAGAGTGAAGATGAAAGGACGTGGAGGGATTATCAGGTCTGTGGGTTTAGAATGCTTGCAGCCGTCTTGAAAGGGTGTCTCTTTGGATTCATGCCATCTCGCAAGGGTCTCATGCGTTTTATGCGGAGGTTGAGGAAGCAGCAGCAGCGATTCTAGTGTTCTTACGAACACCAACAGTCACAACCCCATCAAACTGCCTTTGGCCTACACAGAGACGTGGCATGTGCCATGAAGCTCGCACCCTCAACCCAGGACCGCCAAAACATAAGCCTTGAATCAGGACGGTGTGTTGATTGGAGTCTACTCGATCCAACTGCCGCCTGAATATGAGCGCTCCATCGATGAGATCGAACCTGCATGTTCCTGGATATTGGGATTACCCTAGCCCAAAGAAGCGTGGAACCCCTCCCCACTTTGCCATGACAGTAGTCTTCGTATGGTGTTGTGTTTCCGTGCTACTCGTAGCTTGCAGAGCGCATGTTGGCAGTGTGCATGGTGTTTACCAGAATTCGGTCGCTATCAAGATACATACGGGAATTATCCTGATTTGAACTTTCTGGAGATTTTTGCTCCATATTATGTATACATATATGTACGCATAAATTCATATTTTGACCAAATCTTGCTCACATTTTGTGTGATCTTTGGCATGTGTTTGAAGGGACCTTAGCAATGGGCAGTGCTGTGTGAAACGACCATGGAACTCATTCGTTCATCTAGTCTTCTCCATCATGCTGATCATACTGGGGGTGAGCGGTTCAGAGGTTTGGGGGGTTAAATGACAGAGCCTCTCTTTCTGCACTCTCTGCCGCTTCCTCTTTGAATTTTGCATGTTGACCTATGTTGCTAACCCCAACACCTGACTCTGACCTGCATCTTGGGATTTCACGAAAAGCCCCAAGTCACGCTTGAAACATCTGTGTTCGCAAGATTTCCTGCAGAGGCCAATGCCCCCAAGCCCTTCCCTTAAACCCTAAGCCTTGAAAGTCCGCATAGTTCGTGTTTGATGAGTGTGGGCCTCCCCTAATGGAACGGCAGCCCTCAACACTTTAATTGCGCCTCGTTCTGCATGAGGTTCCTTTGAAGCTTTGACTGCAGCATTCGAGGGCTCTATCAACGTGCGAGCCTCATGCTGCCGCGCCACCTTGGAGATGGCCTTTAGTGTCCTTGTTAATGGGGGTCAAGCCGATGCGCTACACTGCCCAAAACAGACATTGAATCTCTTAGAGTCTTAGAGTGTTAATTTGAGGTGAACAGACGCCTACCAAGGCCCCCTTCGCAAGTTCCTTGTGACAAGAGATGTTGTGCACACGGTATAGCATATAGACTCGCATCATGATCCACATCGTGCTCGGAGTCTTTTCAACCCTTGACCGGGTTGGGGCTTCAAGGCTTCTCGCTGCTCCATAAAATCCGGCTTTTCTGTCATGGTCCAGTGCGGATCTGGGCACCGCGTTTCTTTCTGATAGCGCACATATGACTCCCCCCAGACCCTAGGTATGTTGAAGTGTCTGACAGTGAGGAACGAAGGCTGACAATGCTGGCCCGAACAGTTTGCTCCAAACCCTCTGTAGCGTGGGCAAGGCCTCAAAAGTGTATCCATAAGATGTCTTGAGTTTTGAAGGCATTACCCAAGCCAAGCCCTGCATGGGGGGATGCCTCTAAGCTATCATTCATCGTCATACCACTTTAACTACCATATGGGCCACATGTGAAGTCTTGCCGTGAGCCCCAATAAATGACAATGTGAGCCAGAAAATGGCAAGTTTGCTTGGGGATGGGCTTTAGAGACTCCCCGACCCTAATTCAGCTCGAAATTGGGGTTCTGATTGTGCTGATGATGCTCGCGCTTGGTGTGCCCGCGGGAGCGGGAGCATCATCAGCACGGTTGGAACTCCATTTTGGGCTAAGTAGGGACAAGAAGATCTTAACACCCGTTCTAAACTATCGAAAGTCACAAGAACAGCACTTTCAAAGAGGAGTCTTGTGACCTGGAGCATCATTAGCATGATGGGGACTCCGCTTTGGGTGTTATTCCACCAGGCCCCGAAATAAAATTCGTGGCAGGATGTAGACATTCAGGAATGCTTTTCTCATGCCACCCCGCAGTGGGCAAATCAAACCACAGTCTGAAATCGGTTCAGGGATTTTTCTGGAGTCTGACAAGCCTGGGGCTAATGTTCTGGTATGATATGTTTTTAGTATCAACCTTTATCTTTTAAGGATTCCGATAACCCGCCGCATATCCCGCAGAATGCTTGCCGATATGCTTCCTTCATAATTCTTGAAGGATCTGAAAATCATCCAACCGGGAATTCTATTCTCGTGATTCAGGCCCCTACGCTGCCCGAGACTCATTCTTGCAATAGCCCTTGGAAATTAGCATGTCTTTCCGTAATTCTGGCAGCCCTACACCCCAAGTGAAAGCTACTCCGGAAGCGCTGAATCCTGAAACTTATGACGCGGTATTAACCTGCATATTTAAGGTGCCCTGTAGCCTCGCAACCCACTGGTGCTCTTCGTTTCACAAAGGTATATAAATACATATACATGCCTATTCTCTCTCTATACATGTATACTGTACAGAGAGGTTAGAGGGAGCATTACAGGCAAATACTCCAAGCACCAGTCTTGCGAGAGAAGAGCAAGTGGAGGTTGGAGCCCTTGGTGAGCCCACTGCGGAGTTTTCCGAGAAGCCACTTCCATGCTTCAAAGGCCAGACTACTGAGATGGGTAAGGGTGCGGATTGAGGGTGTAGGATTTTGGGTGTTGGGTTGTCCGGTCCAAGTCTGCTCGTTGTCAAAGCGAGTTCCCAGTGAAACAGAGCCCTACAAGAGGGCCCTGCCCCCAAACTTTAACAAGTTACCGTTTGGGGTGAGGTTCGCTACGGAGTTTCCAGCCAATTTTGTGACGCCCTGAACGACTCGAATATGTTCAGAGGCTCTAACTTGCAGCAATGGCTATATGCATGTATGTATAGAAACACTCTGACGCTCCCTTTTGTAGGTGTGTGCTTACATATGTGTACACAGTGTATGTATGCGGAAATACTCAATGGAATTTCTGTTCTTGCATCTTTTGGGGCTTCAGGCTTGAGATTTTCTTGTGCTTGGTTTTCGAGAATTTTGGTTTTCCATCTGACCACACGAGCCTTTTTCATGACCATAATGGGGTCTCCGGACAAAGCATGGTTTGGCTTTCACCGGGGTTCCTATGCTACACATCGTGTTAGGGACGAGAGATCCAAGCCACCTGGACGGCCTCTTGGTCTGAGGCCGCATAGCCATTGTCGCCCCTTTATGCACCAGTTTGTGGTTCACCGCCTTTGCGATTCATCATCTTGTTGCTTCGGATCCAGCAACACATGTTGATGCTGGTCCCGCGCTTCGCTTCAAGCTGCATGGTATTTGCTGAACAAAAGGTCGCAGATATTGAAGGTGCTCATGCGCTTATGGTGCCTTCGTAGTTCGAAGTTAAACACTTAAGTTGTACTTGGAAAACGTCAGCTAGTTATAGCAGTCATAGCCTTGCATTGGATGCTTCCAAGATCATGTTTGTATCCATGAACCTCCAAATAAATGCGGTTGGAGAGGCTTCGCGTTGCCTATTGGCCAGTGTGAAAGCTGCGAACTAGCCGTTGGACAGATAGTCAGATACACTGCAGCACATGGAACCCTGTGGGAGCCCCACTTTGAATTGGCTGCAGACAAGATCAACTCGGAATTTTTGAGTTGCCTGATGGTCCTACCTTCTTGGGAAGCCCAAAATCCATCTCGCCTCGCTATTCTGTGGTCCGGGGCCCTTTACAACATGATCGGCAGCAGCTGTAGAACTTCGGGTTTCAGGAGGGGGGTCAGATTTCCAAAAGGGGGTTGGTGGTTCCGATGGCCTTCCATCTTTTTGACCTGGGGTTGTATAGGGGGCTGATCTTGGGGGGCTTCGCCGTGGAGGTTACAGCCCCGTGAGCTTCATGTCGCTCATACATCGACATCTTGAGATGGGCTACCCTGCCGGAGATCAGTCGACGCAGGCCATTCAGACTCAAGAGCCGTAAGATTTCGGGTTCAGTGTTTTCTTAATCGGTCTGAAGAGGTGGAGCAATGCATCTGCAATCTCAGAATCCCAAATATGAAAAGTTGCAAGCAATTCCACTCCCGCATTCTCCTTGGCAGTAATTCAGCAGTAGGTTTAGGTGAGATCTCTGCGATCAACGCCACCATAGTTGCCGCAATTGTCACTGTACAAGTATTGAGATGATGCGCATGCCTGTGGCAATCCAGGTGACTCTCACACAGCATCCGATGTTTGAAGTCTTGGCTACTTTGAAAGTCCAAGCAGACAGGGGCTGCCAGCTCACGAAGTGGGTGCAGCAGTTTTACAAGCGCAGCAGCTACACAAGTGGCAATTCAACCTCGGGGCCTCCTGCTTGCCCAGCATGCAAACTCCAAGCTCAAAACTGCCAATCTCCACCCTGGTGTCGTACCTCGACCTTGCGCGCCTCACATTATTTTTAGAGGTTGTCACGCTTCTATTATTCTTTCAAGAGAAAAAAAAACGGCTTCACATTCACAGACCAGGCAGACCATACAACACCCTTCCTCCTGAGTGGTTTCGAAACCCTTTGGGCATTTCTTCGCACTGCCAGGTGCCCAGTCCCTATTTCGAAATAGCTGCGCAAGCAGTGGATGGAGCTACCTGGCCTGCAGTGGACATCTCCCAGATCGGGATTTCTCTCTCTCTCCGAATCGGTTTCCGTGACTGTGGGGATACACGGGCATTGTGATTTCAAAAGGCTTATAGACTGAATTCTAGGGGTCTCCTAAACGGGTTACCCTGAGAGCTCCAGGGGGTAATTTTCGCAAAAAGCAACATAACCTCTACTAGCCATTTCGCAGGATTTGTTGTTAAAGGTTCATGGATGTGTAGCGTATCATGAAATATCTTGGAAGCCAATAGCTGCTGACTGTGGTCTATTCGTTCCAGGGTCTGCTACTGTTTGTCAGGCTAACCGATTAAGCAAAACCAGTTTGCGGAAGATTCCCTGTTAGTCTCTGGGCCTGCACCTACGCATCGTAAGCCAAAACCTGAGGTCCAAGTCTTTGCTGGACCCTGCCCCACGCCAGACCAGACATGCTTGCCAGGCTTGCGCAATAGCATTTGCCATCCAACACTTGTTGCAGCAGGGCTACACCGTTCAACAGGCCTGGGCATGTTCACGCTCTCCCTGATTGCGTTTAATCTAAGGAACTTGCAATCCGATTTGCAGGTGCACGCGTCCGCTGTGGTTCCCTTTGTCACCCCTTTTGTGTAGTCCCATATTTGTTCTTTTATCTTTTCGACGCCCTCCTTTGTGTGAGCTGTTTGCTGCCCTGCTTTAGCTCTGCCTAAGCTTCAGATGAGTTACGCGTGCTGAATTGTTGGAATGTATACGGTACAGTAGGGAGATAAGAGTTTGGGATTGAGGTTTGGGCCTCAAAATTCTCCAAGCTCTATCAATCCAGAATCGCACCTTCATGGCTCGAGCCCTTGCTCATTTCATGAAGAGGAAGAGCTTTGCAATGTGTGGGAATTCGAACGGAAACTAGGTCCCATGTTCCAATGGGACCATATCCAGACCGCTGAAGCAGGCCGTGCGCGATCCAAATTGGCGGCTCTCCACGCGCTCTTGCAAGTCCTGCAAGGGGTACTATAACTCCCCCCAATCCAGATGAATCCCTACATGGTTTGAGTCAACCCCAGTGTCTTCTGCATGGCACTCCCAGGTGCCCGTAAATGAGTTCAGGCTCTCATCCCTGAAGCTTTGAATGACCCTGACATTGCACAGATGTGAGCTACGGTTCTTGTGAGCCATCCGGAAGTTCCAAAGCCTTCCAGTGACCTTTAACTCTGGAGTAAGGAAACCAACCTCTTGTATCGTGGCTGGCCATTGCCGACGTTATTAACATTGTTGCAGTTCTAACAAGCGTTGCCCTTGCAAGACATACGGAGTTACTCCTGCTGCTTCTGATACTGTTTTCTTGGGGTCCCTGCAACTACTTTTTGGGACAGCCCCACTAGCCCTGAATTCGTGTGCACAGCTTAGTTCAAAGCCTTTGGATCCTAGTTCTTCCGTGTAGGTGCAACAGCCTGACCAAACAGTCTACGCCGCTTGGAGCTTTGTGCTAGTTGTTTCTCTCCTACCGGCTTCAAAGTTGCCGCATGGTAGGGCTTTCTTACAAAGTTATGCGATTTGGGACCCGCAATTTCCACAATCTCCTCAGTGTCGGGGTGATGTACCCCAGGGCCATGCAACAAGGGGTAGTGGCCAATCAGGGACGGAGACTGAAGAAGGTCGGGCATGAAAGGTTGGCGATGGTTTCTGAGGTGCTCCTTTCAAGGCCGGAGCCAGTCAGAGTATTCCTACTCACACATTTTTTTCGATTTACGAAGTTTAGCACGTTTCTTGCTAAGTAAGGGGGTTGCCAAACTCTAAACCCTGAGCCCCAAAGGCCATGACAATACGGCGCCAAAACCCACCATGTCTCGCACAGACAGGGGCCTAGAGCCACCTTCATGGCACTACCAGTCTCCCTGATCGGGTTTTGGGTTCACTGCGGACGAACGGCGCTAATGCACCTTTGACTGCGTCACCCAGCTTGACCTTCATCCTGATCAGCGTAGCATACCAGTCAGGAACCCTTGTTGAAGTCCACTAGCTCGACCATACGCCTGAAACCTGAATCCAATTAAAGCAGATAACGTTAATCCTGAGACCTAGATCGTGTGCTGATCCTTCCGGCCTGTGGCTCTGTCCTGTTGCTAGACAAGGGAGCTAGAAGGGTCGGCATCCAGCCTCGCATTTAGGTTTCCCGGGCTGCTGAGGACAGAATGAGCAGTTTCTTGCGAACTGAGCTGGATTTCCAGGGCGTGACTCTGATGGACAAGACATACTCGGGCTTTTGATGGGGTCAAATCCGGCGTAGTTGTGTTAGGCTGTCGAGGTCTCGCCCAGGGAACCTGCTTATGGAATCTGGGAAGTTTTTCCTGTAGTGGATGAGGAGAGGGCGAGTTGCGGGGGTTCCCTGACCAACCGCTCACTGCTTGTTCGACGGCTACATCATGACGATAATGTCTAAGCCAGATCTTCTCATGAATATAATGCCTGTCGGGGGCAAAAATGTCCGGTGAGCTTGCGAAATCAAAAACCCCGCAACCTTCTTACACTCCCACTCTGCAAGGGCCTTGACTCTTGCTACAACATAACTGACGGTCAGAACATAAGTCAGAGTGTACGTGGAAGTGGAAGCCTGAATTCTTTAATGTCACCAACTTATAACCCTTGTCAAATTATAGTACTATACCCCAATGCCTAGCTGGATTATTGAGGACCCAAACCCTGGACCCTGTTTATCCATAGATCCCCTGCATGATCCCGATATAGTCCGGTACAGTCAGCACTTGAGTTCTCCAGGCCAAGTTTTCCTGGTGCATCCAAAGCTCTGTGTATTGTTAACAAGGCTTGCATGGAGTCCATAATAGCCTGGTGGAGAATATTCTTCACCTGGGGATTTGTAGCCTCAAGCTTCGAATTCCTAAAGCCGGGACCTTTCCATCCTACAGGCCGTCTCCGCTTGCAAGTGAAGTGACATCCTAGATCAGTTATCTTACAAAGAAAATTACGAGCAATAAGAGTTGCTTCTTTGGATAGCATCTATCCTACATCCGACAAGGGATACTGACAGATGTGAGATGCAACTTTTGCTTTTCATTCAAGCTTCTACATCACCCAGCCTCATGCCCCGGCTAAGGTTTTCTCCTTCGATCTGTTCGCCTTGGAGTTGTTGTAGTGGATTACGCTTGCGTCAGTAATGACAATTCTTCTAGCACCAAGCTGATAACCACAAATGCATGCGGATCTTCATGTTTGTGCTCCACCGTCGCCATTTTGGGTTACAGCTGGTGCACCCGCATCAAACACCAAAAAGGTTTAGTCTCAGCTGTGCTGCCATTTTTGTCTGCTCTTTGTGCTGCTTTTGTGCATCTTCACTTCGGGCATCATTGATTCTGCAGACAGG